GTTGAGAAGGTGGTTGTAGGCCAAACAGTTGGAACAGTAATTATTTTGTTCGACGAACTTGCTGCGTTATTGAGCAGCGAGCTTTCATCATATCAACGTGGGAATTAATATACCGGCATATAGTTCTCATCGATCGCCATCTTGAATATTCAATTTAATTTAACTATTCGATTCATCATTTAATATCATTTAACCTTTGCTCAAAATTCATACTACATCTAATTTAAAGGTTGTAGAACTCACTCTTTCACCAAGTTGAAATATTCATTCCATTTTCATTCAAATCACTCACGTCTTAAATCTCTTAGAACTAATTAAAAAACTAATTGTAATCTTTTAACTTAAATAAAACTTATCTTATAATTACAAAAGCAATCGTAGCTTTTAACATGGTCCTTGCGAGCCAAATTTGAATTGGCAACGCAATTCCTAATAACTAAATTAAAAAAAGGGATCACGCAACTCTGTCCGCGACGATCTTCCGTGTTTCGCTCCCTTTTTCATTTTGGCAGCCAGCAGCAACAGACCACAACTCGGAGCAAAAACTTAGATTATTTCTTAAATCGCAAATACCAACTGCTGCCCAACGCGGGAATAAAAAAAATTTCTCGATTTCTTGCGCTCAACGAGGGAAAATAAACTGCAAAGAGAAATATTCACTCTGAAATTTAAAATCTAAAATTTTTTCCACAAAATACCATCTCAATACCCCATATCCATGGGCGTAGCCAGGTAGGGGCAGGGGGTGATCGAGCCCCTCTAACTTTCAAATTTTCCTTATATATATATAAAATAGTACCCTGAAATGCCAGCTCAATAGTTTATACCCAACATTTAATTTTTGCTTATATCCATTACGAAAAATTTTGCACACTTTCAAGACATGTGTCTTTTCAAAAATATCTAAAGTATAGGTAAAAAAACCAAGTTATACTACATATAATCTCAGCGCAAGCGAATTTTTCTTAAAATAAAAGCAAATGTTGCAACTTAAAAGTTCCGTAAAAGCCACGTCAAATTCCATAATGATAAATAAACCATCATTATTGTCGAAGTTTACCTTCGATTCAAACTACCTCCTAAATTTTTGTACACATTTGAAAAAGCTAAACCGAATGATCATACATGTACTTTACTTGAAGTTAAATTACAAGATCTCCAATCTCGTTGGGAAACCCTGAAACCTTCGTACGAAAATCTTTATTCGGATTATGAGAATTTAATTTCTTCAAAAATGAAAAAAAGAAGCATACATCCAATTCCAGTTGTGTAAAAATAGCTTCGAGCTTTGCGAATCTCAAATTCCCCATCAGCATAAATCTCAAGCTAACTCAAGCAATATTAGTATTACAAAGATAAAATATTTATAAAAAAAAAATCCAATTCTAAATCAATCATATTCGTAGGAAACCCCTTTTTTGAAATGCAAATTGTGCATTCATAATCATCCTTTGAAATTATGTCCCATATTTCGGAGGTAAAATGTTCAAGAACGCACGAAGTTCCTCATATACGCACCCATTGCCAAAAGGGTCGCCAATGGTTCCATTGCACAGAATCCCATCATACTATGTTGCATTTAGAATCGACTAACAAGCCAACAGCTAAGGTAAATGTAAGTGAAGAAAAAGCCAAAAAATCTTCAAATGAATCTTCTTTATTGCATATCCAATCTACCGAACCTCTATCAACGCACTCTAAGCATCAAAGCTCTAAAATCCAACCTAATTTCTCAATTACCGAGAAAAACAACAAACAAATACCCAACCACACATCGAGTAAAAATACCAGCTCTTTACTCCAAAACTTACCTACCTAACCAGACGAAATATCATTCGCATCGATACTAACGCGATTGGTATCCGCAGTCCATCGGGCTCTCTACCTAGGCTTAACGCCAAAAAGCAAACACTCTAAAAGTTAAAGGCTCAGACGTCACTGATCCACAATTTAACTTATCACATCAAATTTCCAGCTCTATATCAAAGAGACAAATCAAAAATCCTTAAAGATCCTCTCGCACAATATACCATACATGGTATTGGAGTGGGACATTAAAAACCACCAAACTAAATGCGCAAAAGTGGCAAATTCCATTTTCAGTTCCGCCACTTTTGAGCCCCCCAGGGTCGCTATCACCCATTCCTACACAAACCGAACTAGGATTCAAGCAAGAAATGCCAAAGCCACTCGACCTGCAAAAGTGGATGCAGATTACCAAACACATCCCAATCTCCAAAGGAATTGCATTTCCCACAAATCATAATATCACATTTCCCTAAGTACATTCTAAATCATTCAAATTACTCTCGCTTCGAATATTTTTTATCAAAACTGAAAAGCTTTGAACCAATTGGCGCAGAAATTTTGTCAAAATTTTACAACAATTCTGACGACGTTAGCATACTAGAATGGCTTCTGAAACCTCCTGACTGTTCACCATTCATATTTCTGCAATCTATTGACCAAGCTGTTGGTTGTCTATAAAGGCAGCCCGCGCATTGCTTTCTTTCTTCTTTTCAGCAATCAACACCTATCAGCAAACATCGGAACACATCGGAGCAGCGAGCTTTCATCATATCAACGTGGGAATTAATATACCGGCATATAGTTTTCATCGATCGTCATCGGGAATATTCAATTCAATTTAACTATTCAATTCATCATTAATATCATATAACCTTTGCTCAAAATTCATATTAGATTTAATTTAAAGTTTGTATAACTCACTCTTCCACCAAGTTTAAACATTCATTCCATTTTCATTCAAATCACTCTCGCCTTAAGTCTCTTAGAACTAATTAAAAAACTAATTGTAATCTTTTAACTTAAATAGAACGTATTTTATAATTACAAAAGCAACCCTAGCTTTTAACAATGTTTACCAACGGCGCGGATTATGCATTGGCACGAGAGCAAAACAGCCTGCACGATAATGAATTACGTTTACTCGCTCTACAATAAAAGAATCCGTGAGGTACGTTTTAACCCTGGCCAAGAGGTTTATAAACGCAACTTTGTACTAAGCGATTTTATACAAAACATAAAAGCGAAATTTTGCAGAAAATTTACGAAGTGTCGCATAAAAAAAGCGCGTGGCAATAACATGTACCTTTTAGAGTCGCTTCCTCGAAAGAGCCTGGGAACAGGACATCAAACAATGAAGCTACCACTTTCTTGAAATCAATCTCTCCAACGACGGGGTTCAAGTCGGCGGAGAACTATAAATCACCGAAAAGATTACACCGCATCTGGCCTGTTAATAGCACCAAAGTAAAACTCTTGCACTTAGGTAAATTAAAGTGATCTTCACGTAAACCACTTGCGGATATTTGTACATATACGCGGTACGAAAATGCCCGTAACGTATGCTCGGCTTAGCTCTCGAGGCCGGAAACCGTGTCAGGGTGGGTGTTCCCCACATTTCACATAAGGGTATTTGAACGATTTAGGCGGCCATATAACCAATTTGACAAAATTTGGAAGGAAACTTAAAAAATTAGTCACATTCGATAGAGAACATTCCAGATAAGATTTCCCAGTCCCCCTTACTTTTGCACAGCGAGCGCTCACCGTTGACCGTAAACAGAATATTATAAGACCGTTTATAAATAAATGTTCGCTCCCTAGAAAGATCGTGACGGTTTTAAGTTAATATTTTGATTTCTGCATTAAAAAGTAGTGATGGGTCCGCATACAGAAGGTAAGAATGCAATGTAATTAAATTTTTCTAATCGTTTTATTAAGCAAAAGTTCAATTTAAATGTAGCGAAAATAGCGGTTTTCAACGAGTATTTTTTTAATTTTTGTTGAATATTAAGGAATTTGTTGTATCCCCGGGAGAGATCGCGTTATTATTCTTGGTTATTCTTGAAAGCTTAGAAATTTGGCTGACGTAGTGTGTAAAAATTTCCCACAAAAAATGGCAGATAAGTGGTATTTCTTTACTTAGAAAATGTATTAAGGAAAAATCTAAAAACGCAACTAATATATAGTAACACTACTTAAGACCTATTTTAACACAAAAATTGAACTTTTTAAATGAATTTGAGGCCGCTGACCAAGAATATGAATCCATTTAATAAAAAAAAACAACAATTATTTTCAAGATATAAGCAAAAGTCATGTTTTCTAGGACCTTTCGGTCCTGTTGCTAGAAATCTGCGGGAATAAAAGGCGAACCCAACTATATTATTATTATTTCTAAATAAACATTTGTTTTCCTTTACATTGATGTTATATAAGGGCGATATTACGCAGACGATCATATGCTCCCTGGCCACGAATCGTTGTTGCTTTCACTGCACAATGAAAAAATTGAGAGCGAGCGAGAGAACTGAACCGCATGACCAATCGTTTCAAATATGACCAGGCGGCTGAGACCGAATCACTGATCAATACGATTTACTATTTGTTCTTTTTAGGAGCGAAATTGAGTATTTTTCATACTATTTCTCCTTTTAGTAGCAGAATGGTAAATTTTTGCTGAAAATTCATACAAAGTAGTACATATGTAGAATAAAATTTATACTAGAAACCCTTGTTTTTTTTTTATTTTAACATGTTTCTATACACATACATATACCGTTTCTTAATTTTTTCGTAATTTCATAACACAAATGTAAAAAGAAGTAAAAAAATAGATCAAAGAAATACAACTGCAGAGCAGCATGTTGGTCAAAGAGAGTAAGAACGGAAAAAATGAGAGAAAAAGTGCCGTGACCAAGAATCATATGATCGTCTGTGTAACATCGCCCTAAGTGATGATTAAAGAAATAGTTTTGGGTATACAAGCGTTTAAATCTAGATAAATATAAATTTAGATAAATCTACGATATTTCAGTAAATATTGTATCTAAATTGTTGAAAATTGGTAGGTGAAGTAAAATTTTGGAACAATAATCCTATTATTATGAAATATTTGGAAAATGGGAGTGGCCCCGCCCACTTATGATGAAATGCTATATCTCAGTCTCCGCTTCACCAATCTGTACTTAACTCGGTATGAGCCTTGCTTAGACTATCGGCCCAATTCTGAATATTCCCGAGGATTTCTTTTCTCGCGGATTTTACTTTTCTCGAGAATAAAATCCTCCTATTCTAAACTGCCAGGGAGCACAATTTTCCCCGAAAATTTGGGAGCAGGAAATTCGAAGTTTCGAAGAGCTGTTTGACAGTTTTTTGACAGCTCAACTCCAGCTATTTAATTTGCGCGCTTTACACATGAACGTTTGTTTCATAATAATTTTCATTAACAAATTGCGACAAATAAGTTTGAACTATAGGAATAAAACAACTAACAACTAATAGTGTAACGTGTAAACTAAACATAAACATACAAATTAAGATATTAAGCGGCTGTTTTAAGGCATAATAAGAGTAATCAGGGTACGTATATTTCGGAAATTTGCAACAAATACCATATTTCCAGCCGACATTATTGTTAAATTAGCGCACAGATTTAGTAAATTAAATTTTTGTAATAAAGCGTGAACTGTTGTCTACAAGTATGTGTAAAAGGTTTTTGATTCGATTCACGCGTTTGGGCACAGCAACCCAAAATCGTACAAATTCATAAACAGTACCCAAAGTGTATTTCCGATTAATATTGTTAATGAATTAGGGCGCGAGAACTCAAAATCTGTGTTTTAAATTAAAGTTCCATCTTTTAAGATTTTAATTTAGATCGCGCGTTTCCTTGTAATAACCCGAACTAAGTGGCCACATAGCATGAGAGTACCCTTTGCTTGGTCCAGTTGCCACAGTGAATTTTGGAATCCACATTTTTAATAAACTAGTGCTCCGGAACTTTAAATATTAGTGTTAAACTAAAGTTTAATCTTTTAACTACCCGTGTAAGTTAAAAGTTTTGGATTTGGATCGCCGGTTTCCATACAATAATCCAAAATACGTGGTCAAATAGCATAGGGTACCCTTTGCTACCTCCAGTTGCCACAGTGAATTTTGGAATCCACATTTTTAATAAACTAGTGCTCCGGAACTTTAAATATTAGTGTTAAACTAAAGCTTAATATATTAGCTACACGTGTAAGTTAAAAGTTTTGGATTTGGGTCGCCGGTTTCCATACAATAATCCAAAATACTATTAAACTAGTGCTCCAGAAATTTAAATATTAATGCTAAATTAAAGATTAATCCTTTGTAGGACAACGTTCAGCTTTGGAAGTGCTCATCTACAAATAAAATAATGCATTCCATCGCCTTTCGCTTAGTGGCAGAGGAAGTGGAAGAGGAAGAACGGTTGATGGCGCAGAGGGTCGAACGACGAAAATTGCGTGATGCCATAAATCCCTTCGAGTTGCCGCCATCTTTGTAAGTTACAATTTTTTCCCAGTACTACAAAAAGGTCTCGCTAAGCGAGGAATCAATTCAGTTTTTGAAAAAACTAAACAAATTCATTGATTGCTAGCTTATTGGTCAAAATGGATGAACAAGTCATTACTACTTTATTGCTCGATTTTGGCATTACTCCTTACATTTTTAAATAATTACATATGAATTTTCTCAATTACATACATACATAGATTTGAAAAGTATTACCGACTTAACAAGGCGGGATTCCAATATTTGTTGGACGTATTGACAGCAAATACGGAGGCACCAAAGAAGGTTTTTGCGATATCTCCCATCGCAAAACTGAGCGGGTGTTTAAGATTTTTGGCTGAAGGTGGGTACCAGACGGGTGTGGGTAAAGACTGCGACGTGTCGTTGGCGCAATCTAGTTCCAGCAAAGTGTTGAGAGAAGTTCTGACCGTTTTTGAGCGCCATTTGTGCCCGCAGTGGATAAAGGTGAGCGAAAGTGAGGAGGAAAGCAGGAATATCGCCCGAGCCTTTTACGTTAAATATGGCATTCCGGGAGTTGTGGGGTGTATTGATGGCACCCACGTAAGAATAATTGCGCAACTTTACTACAACCGTAAAGGGAACTACAGCCTAAACGTTATGCTTGTAAGTTACTCCTTGTTTCTGCATTTATCTATATTTGAACTTTTTTAGATGTCGACCGCTGAGTTGAAGCTCGACCTATCTCGGCAGCCGGTTCTAAAACTTCGAGATAGGTCGATAGGCTTGTTTGTATATATTTATGTTCAATATTTAGCTTTGCGACAATGAATTAAGGATTCGCTATGTTGATGCTTGTCATCCTGGGGCGTGTCACGATTCCTTCATATGGAACAACAGCGATTTGCGTGTTCATTTTGAGAGACAATATTTACAAGGAGCGAGGAATGCCTGGCTTTTAGGTATTGTTGTTAAATTAATTTACACTTGCCCGTAATTACGCGTTTTGTAAATTTTCAACAGGGGACGCAGGGTATCCTTTGGAACCGTGGCTGTTGACACCTCATAGAACTCCAGAAGAAGGCTCAAGGGAAATGAGGTTTAACGAAGCACACTCAAAGTGCCGAAACATTATTGAGCGCACCAATGGTGTACTAAAAAACCGCTGGCGATGTCTTCTTGGCGCAAGGGAGCTGCACTATACACCCGAAAAAGCTGCAAAAATTACAAATGTGTGCTGTGCTTTGCATAACATATGCATTCATTTCAAAGCCAATGTTGAAATTGAACTTGAAGTGTTGGAGCCTGAAGATGCGGATGTAACACCAATTGCTTCTACGCAGTACAGCGCAGTAGCACAGTCGATTAGAGCACATATAGGATCCGCTCTTTAAATAATACGCAACTGTAAATAAATAACCTGCAAAATAAATACCTGCAACATGCAATTAATATACAACAAAGCAAAGCACCACCACATCACACAACGCACAAATTTGAATTCATAGGCAAAGTGGCCGCCCAAAAGTTACTTATATGTCGAGCACAACATGCACAAAGGTTAGTACCTAACTTAATTTTCCATAAAAGATATCAACTAACTGAGGTTTTAAAAATTCGATTAGAGCCTCGGCGAGAAATTCGATATTATGCATTTAATTTTTGTAATCAAATCTTCGGCCTTTTGTTGCGAAAATGTAATGAAATATTTGAAACATCCAACTTCTACGTGCTGTTTACTTACTTGGATTTACGCCATTGGTGTTTACCTCGGGCGACATTAATATTAACAAACAAATTGCCAAGGAATCTGCTACCGAGTGTGATCAATTTTTTGCACGAATTATGAAAATTTTTGATTTACAAGAATGCTATGAAAGGAATCAATCAAGCCTGCTAGTACGCGAAAATTCGTTTACATTGGAAGAGCTGAACGGCGCAATGGAGCAGACTCTATGTAATTTGCACAGTGATGAAGAAAATAACAGTGAAAACATTTCGGTAAATGGCACAAATACAGAAGAACCATTTAAAGACACCAAATCAGCGAAAACCGCCTGTATTGAAGATGCGCAAATCTCATTACTATCGAAGAGGAGGAAGGAACTTGAAGCCAGAAAGAATGTGAAAAAATTGTACAATGCAAAACTGGAAGTAAGTTGTCGATCGGAAAATGGAAACTTTTCCTTAATATACCATTATAATCTTTGATTTATATTTGCTGGGCAGGAAATTCTGAAATTTGTAGATACGAAACTATACATAGAAGTGCGTCCGAGATATCTTATGCCGGACACAAATTGTTTTATTGATTGCCTCGACGACTTTGAAAAACTTATTCGGGATTTCAAACGTTACATACTTGTTATTCCGCTCACAGGTAAGGCTTTCGCTTATTTTTTATTGCTACAATTATTAAATTATATAAATAAATTCGTGTACAGGTGCGCCACAACGAATGGGTCATTTATTAACGCATCGTTATTTGCATTAGCTGAAGAGGAAAATGTTTCGAATGATGATAAAATTTTGGCAACTGCTGTGACACTCTCAAAACCCATGAGCACAAAACAGAACAGAACAGAACAAAGGTAAAGTTCACATTAAACCTGTAGGCTACCAATGCTTTAATCTTCGAATAAATAAATTTAAGAGAAAGGTATACAATTTTAAGAAAAATTATTTGCTTGAAACTCACTTTCTTATACTACAATTGAATGTATGCATATATGTACTACAGATCTCATTTTCATCCCAACAAGCAAAATAAACCTAAAGAAAGTTTTTTTTAAGTTTTCAATTATAAACATTAAGCTTACAAAACGTCGATTTTTTGTTTATAAAACGCTTGAAAGTAAGCGTAATATAATCGAAAAGGAACATTGGTTATAAGCGTAGAAATATAAACTTTTAATAAATGTTCAAAAGAAAGCTTTTTATAAGCCTAAAAGTGTAAACTTATAATAAAGGTTCAAAAAAAGTTGTTTATAAGCGTATGAATATAAACTTACTAAAAATGTTCAAAAAAAAAGCTTTTTATAAGCATTTTTATAACCCTTTATTTAAAGATATTTCAATAAAAACTCATACATAGATTGCTTAACATCTAGAAACTAAAAGAAATGCGAATTTTCGGCGGACTCATCTACAGTCGCGAAAATGTAAATAGGGAATAGACATAAAAATTCAAATACAAATTCCCGATAACACACAAAAATTAAGCATAAAAAAGTTAATTATTATATCTTGTTGCGTGCTTTCAATTACAAGCGGTTATTGGCAAATTGGAAAAACGACATCGATGCAGCTATATATTCCGCATCATCGCCGCCATTATCATTGATGAACTTTTCTGAAAAAAATGTAATACATTTTTAGTTGAATGTTAAACTAAGAAAGGCTAAGGAGAACTCATCATTTGAAGACTCGAATGCTCCACCGATTAGCGCAGCGGGTCCTGGATTGATTTTTTTTTACCGCATTGGTTTTATTTAATTTTTTCTTTTTAATAATATATTTTAAAAAACGTAAACACGTCACTTACGATTGAAAAAATTTATATTTACTACTTCATGTCGTTGGCATTTGCATTTCATTTATAAGTTTAAGTTATTTATAAACATTCGCTCTCAAAACTTATTAAAGGTTTATTTGAAAAAAACTTTTAATAAGCTTAATATTAAAAATCCTTATTTAACGCTTATTATAGCAAACTTACTTTAAGTTATTTTTAAAAACTTTTACTGAAATGCTTGTTGGGATTCTTTTACATACACACATGAATGAAAGTATCAAAATAAGCTTGAAAAGTTAAGTAGTTACATAAACAGAAGGAATAAAAATACAAATATTTAAAATATGATTATATCATAAAACCAGTCTTTATTTTAAAGGGAAAATAACTAAAAAATATATACACATTCTTGTATTTCGCTTAAAATAAGAAAACAATTAAGGTAAAAACTAAAACAATTCATCGCAAACAAACAAGACTTATGTACTAAATAAAAAACAGTTTGAACGCTACATATCTATATACATATATACAGTGGCGCTCACCTTAATAGCACACTTTTATTTTTTACAATTTTCACACTGTTTTACGTGATACATTTTTTTCGTTAATTGTTTATAAAAATATAGTGGATTCTATAACATAAACCATATAGTATATATCACGTAAAACATTGGGAAAATTGTGAAACATAAAAGTGTGCTATTAAGGTGAGCGCCACTGTCCATCTAACGTAAATTTTAAAGTAAGAAATAGAGGTACATGAGTCTCAAATAAGTCCACTTGTTACAGTCGGCGAGCCATCGCTTCCATCGTTTTCTTTACTTTTTATAGGTGTGGACCGACCAAAAAAAATATGTGCGTCAAAAGGCGTCGCAAAATTTAAAAGCCAGTAAAGGCACGGGCGGTGGCCCAAACACCCAACAGAAACTTTCTTCCAATGAGGAAGCTATTTACAAACTGATTGGGATGAAGGAAAGTGTTGAAGGCATATCTGCGTCTACTTTTGGATTGCCACCTTCAAGTGTATCTAAGACCATTGCAGAACCTGAGCGAGACGTGTCAGAATGTGTAGAATATCTAGAGGAAGTGGAAATAGATATACATGAGTCTCAAATAAGTCCACTTGTTACAGTCGGCGAGCCATCGCTTCCATCACCACCAGTAAATGTAGTTCCAGAAAGGAGACGTACTGGAAAGAAGCCGAAAGCATCCTCCGACGTTCTGCAAGCTGAACTAAAGATTCAGCAAGCCTTATAAGAAACAGTTACTGTAGCAGTAACGATTTTAGCAGAACATCTTGAAGAGTAGAAACACTTTCCTTCATTNAGTTTCTGTTGGGTGTTTGGGCCACCGCCCGTGCCTTTACTGGCTTTTAAATTTTGCGACGCCTTTTGACGCACATATTTTTTTTGGTCGGTCCACACCTATAAAAAGTAAAGAAAACGATAATTTAAAGCGAAAACTACATATTTAATCACTTTTACAAACCTTTTTCCACTCAGTCGTATTTTTTGTCGGTGGACCTGCGGAGTTTAGTTCCACCTCAGCGTTCCGCCAAAACCGGGAAACTTCCTCTTTGTTGCCCCTATGGAAGCCGCGAGCAATGTCCGGCCTAGCTTCCATTAGGCTTATTAAAATTTCCTCTTGCTTTCTATTTGTTGTTTTAGACCTAAAATGAAAGCATTGAACGTTTTATTACTCCAAATTTTCTTTAAATTGTAATTAACTTACATTTTTGTAGCAGCTCCCTTTTAAAATACTGGTGAAAATTCTCCCAGAATAACGAAGTCAATTCTCTTCCTTTTTGACATTCGTAATACCTACTTTTTTCCCCAAACACATTTTCACTTTTTCGAAGATCGTTTAGAATAGGAGGAAAGAGAAAAGAGGAAAATTCCTCAGGAAATTTTTATTCATGATAGGAGGAAAGGGAAATGAGGAAAAATTCCTGGGGAGTTTCTGTTCAGAATCGGGCTGTATATCAAACATATATGCTAAACTCTTTGAAATCCGGCGATAATCACGCATACTTCCCATATAACGTTAATTTACAGAAATTCGAAAACTGCGATAAATCAGTAACTACTGAAGCTGATTCACTCAAAATCGATTCTTGGAATAACCTCTTAGCATTAAATTATATTATTATTATTTTGTTGGATATTGGGCGTGGCGCCGCCCACTTATGACCACAAATATGTATCTCAGTAACCGATTTATCAATTTGTACCACCTTGTAACCTTGGATTGGAAAAGCAATACGTTGAAAATACGAAAACTCCGATATTTCGGTAATTCAGGATGTTGGATTCACATCTGCCAGTGCACATATGGGTTAAACGCACTAATTCTTTCTTTTTCGCTAAATAATAAATCGAGCGACTATCAGCAGAAACACACGCGTTTTTCTTTTTCCAGTTTGAAACTCTTGGTAATATTAGCGTACATTATTTTGGTCCTTCGAGCCGGATTCCGCAGTCGGGACTGAAGTATATCTTTAAACAATCCACTTTTATAATCTAACTAATCTTAAAGTCTCGCGACTCCACGACGTAAAAGAAAAAAAAGCCCAAAAATCGTTGCAAAGATTGCAGCAACTACATCGTAACCTGCAAATTTGAGGTTACGTTGGACACGTGATCATGACGGTCAAACTGCGCGATGCAGCGTTGAAGCCAACGGATTCAGTAGCTCAAAAATTGAAGGCTACGTGAAGCTTCGAGAAGAGCAATGGGCAAAGTTCACGGAGGCACAGGATGCGGTAGAGGTTTCGTGTGGAGTCGAAACGATTGATGCTGAAGAGCAAGCGTGTGTGCAGGCAGAAGAAGAAGGTACGTGGAGGCGCTTTGTAACTTCAAGCAAGTGCTTAGTCAAACATCGTTGCCTATCGCCAGTACACCCACGGCAGTAACACAGGCTATCGAGACGTCGACTACGGAAGTGCGCCTACCCAGAATCGAGCTTCCCAAATTTAGTGGTGACTCAACTGGGTGGATTCTATTCCACGATTCGTTTAAGGCATTGGTGCACGATAATACGACGCTCTCAGGCTACCAGAAGTTGCACTATCTTCGCAGCTGCCTTCAAGGCGAGGCGCTGCAGGTCGTCTCTAAACTAACAAATTCGGAGGCAAATTACCATGTGGCTTGGGATCTGATTTGCTCAAAGTATAAGGTGATGCGAATCATCGTTGATAGTCACTTTCGCGCAATATTCAACATAAAGCCAGTTACGAACGAAACAGCACAAACACTTAAACACGTTCTCAATTCAATGTTGCAAAACATACGGGCTTTGCAAGCGCTTGAACGGCCAGTAGAGGCGTGGGATGATTGGGTAGTATATTATCTGTTATCTAAACTTCCACATGAAACCCGGAAACAGTGGGAGTTGTCATTAACGAATGATAAGCTGCCTACATTCAACGACTTGCAAACATTCCTCGAGAGCCGGTGCCGATCGCTAGAGGTACTAGCACCTGGTAGTGGCGGACCAACCAGCAAAAGGGGTAGTAATGCAGCCGTGTTGCATCCATCATCCAATCGACATTCGCCTCGCCACACGCAATCTTCAAGAGCCGATTCATGCACGTGCTGCTCTTCTCAGCACAGAATCTACGCCTGCAGCAGCTTCAAGGAGCTAAGCCCGGCTGCTCGAGCACAATTCATCAAACAAAGGGAAGCATGTTTCAACTGTTTTCGTCAGGATCACAAAGCATCAAATTGCAAGAGCACGTCCAATTGTTTGAGCTGTGGTCGCCGGCACCACACGCTACTCCATGAAAGCTACAACAACACGAATAGCCCTTGCGAAACATCAGCAGCGGCAGCTGATACAGCATCATGCGCTGCACCTGCACCCAGCCGGGTGTCTAGCGAAAAGCATACTCATCTTGCAACTAGTTCTCTTGATCCTGTCAATGCGCTATACTGAAGCCACGACAGCGCCCTTGCTGCGCTGCCGACATCAGCGCTGGCTTCGTCACAAAGCGCAGCTGAGCTCACTACTCCTGCAGGGAAGCGGGAGTCTAAAGGATCAGACATCAATTGTAATAGTGCACCAGCTGCACCGTTACCGCTAACAGAGTCTCCACCGTGCGGCACATCCGCATTCTTGTCACCTACTACAGACCAGGCGTCCAACTGAGAGGTTCAACAAGCAACAGCATGGTCGAAGGGTGGCAATATGACATCACACTACGCCGAAGCAGACAACGCCATATTACTGGCTACCGCAGTAGCCAATGTACGTGACTACGCCGGCCGCTGGCACGATATGCGCATAGTTTTCGACAATGGGTCGCACGCTTTATTTATCACAGAGCGTTGCGTACAACAACTACGTCTTCCAAGAAGATCATCAGCTATCCTGATCACAGGCATAGGCTCAACGCCAAGCGGTAGGCCAAGGGGTGAGGTACTCCTTACTATCGCGTCATCGCAATTACAGCCGTCTTACGTCATCAACACCTTAGTTTTGCCAAAGAAAACTAGCGATCTGCCTACCACCTGCGTGAGCGTCGCAGATTGGCAACACATCAAAGGACTTGCACTGGCAGATCCGCACTTCGCCACACTAGGTCCCATCGACATACTCATCAGTATGGACGAAATNTCCCATCGACATACTCATCGGTATGGACGAAATGGAGCATTTTCTGACTACTGATCTACGCAAAGGCCCTCCTGGTACACCCCTGGCTCAGCGGACAGCACTCGGATGGGTTCTCTTTGGACGAACCAGAAATCCAACAACTACTACACACGCGGAGGTCCCGAGCCTACATTGCGATGTAGATCTTGTTAAGATTTTAAGCAAGGTTTGGGAGCTTGACCAGGCCCCGCATCGGCAACATCTCACGAACGAAGAAAAGTTCTGTGAATATCTCTTCGACTCAACACACCAACGTGCAGCAGACGGGCGTGTCATTGTGCAGCTACCTCTAAAACCTTCTGTGCCTATAGGCGAGACCCGTTCTGTCGCATTACGCAGTTTTTACAGGCTTGAGAAGCGATTAGCTGCAAACGAAAACCTACGTCGGCACTATGTGGAGTTCATGCATGAGCTGTTGCGGTTGGGTCACATGGAGTGCGTCCGTGATAGACCCTCATCCTGCTATTACATGCCTCATCACGCGGTATTAAAAGAGACAAGCGAAACAACTAAAATAAGAGTTGTGTTCAACGCAGCGATGAAATCCTCCTCAGGTTTTTCGTTAAATGATGCATTAATGGTTGGCCCACCATTATAACAAGAATTATTTCCCATTCTATTGCGTTTCCGTATGCATCGTTATGCCATGACCGCCGATATAGCGAAAATGTACCGCCAAGTATATGTTCACGAGAAGCATGTGGATTTCCAAAGAATCGTGTGGAGAGATGCGCCAACCGAAGAACTGAAAGACTATCGTATACTTCGTCTCACTTACGGTACAGCTGCTGTAAGTCACTTGGCTGTGAAGGCGTTGCAGCAAGTTGCTAAGCATAACATGGCAGAATTTCAGTCCTCTCATTCTACGGGATTTCTATATGGACGACCTCCTAACAGGAGCTCACACTTTTGGATAATATTCCAACATCCACAACGCCGATAAATCATTTGTTAGCTGAAAAGGGGGAAGTGAAAACGCTGGGGTTAACGTGGAACACGTCTCCCGATTACTTGACGTATGCGGTAAGTCTTAAGACACCTCCTACTATATTGACCAAAAGAGGTTTCCTGTCGGATGCCAGCACTACTTTCGATCCGCTCGGTCTAATCGCACCTTGCACTATAAAGGCGAGAATTTGGTTTCAGCAAATTTGGCGCACTGATGTCGATTGGGACGAACCTGTTTCCGATCAAATAGCGAAAGATTGGTACTTTCATCGTGACGAGCTTCGATTGTTGTCTAACCTTAAATTAAACCGTTGGCTGGGTATGAGCCCCAATGCGCACACCGAATTTCAAGTATTTGCAGATGCTTCGGAGAAGGCGTATGCGGCGGTGGCCTATGCACGTACTAAGTACATAGACGGCAAGATCGTGGTCAATCAAGTTGCATCCAGGTCGAAGGTCGCTCCGCTGAAAACTACAACTTTACCCCGACTGGAGCTGTGCGCTGCTCACCTAGCAGCAAAACTCATTAAGCAGATCACCGCTTGTGTGTGCTCGCCAGAAAGCCGCATGTTCGGGTGGACAGATTCAACTGTGGCATTGGCTTGGCTACAAAGTCACCCTAGCCGATGGTCTACATTCGTGGCGAATCGCGAGGCGGAAGTGCAGGAAATACTACCCTCCGAATGTTGTGCGCATGTCAGATCCGAAAGCAATCCTGCTGACTGTGCCTCCAGGGGTATGTTGCCATCGAGTTTGCTGTCACATAAGTTGTGGTGGCACGGTCCATCGTGGTTGTCGTCTTCTAGCTACGTACAATATGAGGTCAAGCGACAAGATCACATCACTCAGCTTGAGTTGCGTAAGAAAACTGCTGCCGTAAATGTAGCTGAACCATCACAGCAATGGACCCTTCTCGAAAAATGCTCCTCATTCACGAAGCTGAAAAGAGTTACGGCCTATGTGATGTGCTTCATCGAAAAAGTTCGCAGTTGCGCGCAAACAATGCCTCGCAGGCAAACACGACCCTTAACCAGCAAAGAAATCCAATTCGCAGAGCTAAAACTCATAAGGTATACTCAAAAGTTCTACTTTCCCAATAAAACTTATCTTTGTAGCGCCAAAAAGCCACTTCCACGACGTAGCAGTCTTTAGCAGTTACAGTCGTTTGTTGATAAAAGCGGTATCCTTCGTGTTGGAGGCAGGCTGAAGCACTCCAATGTGTCGTCTGACGTAAAACATCCTGTATTATTGGCCAAGAGCTCTCCACTGGCAAAGCTAATAGTGGCAGATATTCACAAATTTACTCTACACGCTGGTCCTCGGATTATGCAGGTTGTCCTACAGCGGCGCTATTGGGTTGTTGGTGCACGCAGTTTAATTCGAAACATATACCATAAATGTGTCAAATGTACCTTATTAAACCGTAATATAGCTCAACAATCAATGGGGAATTTATCCGAAGCTAGGGCTACATACGCTCGTTGTTTTACCCGCAGAGCAGTAGATTTTGCTGGCCCTTATGTGTACAAATTTACACATGGAAGAGGAGCGAAATCCATCAAAGGATGTTCTTTCATTTGCATATGCGGTTTATAAATCGCAGAGGCTTTTGCAAGGTCATGTTCTCGGACAACGGCACAAATTTTGTGGGCGCCGAAAAGCATCTGCGCAACAGTTTACAACAGTGCATGACTGATGACAGATTTCGGTCATTTTTTAGCGACCTGAACATTGATTGGCATTTTAACCCCCCAGCCGCACCCCACATGGGTGGATACTGGGAGATTGACATCAAACGTGTTAAGTACCATCTGAAACGTACATTAGGCAATACTCTCCTGTCATACGAGGAGTTCAATACGTTATTGACTGAAATTGAAGCTTGCGTGAACTCTCGGCCTTTGTGCGACAACTCAACAAATGTTAGCGACTTGGAGGTTCTCACACCGGGGCACTGTATAGTGGGCGAACCCCTGAAGTCCATTCCAGAACCTGAGGCTCAAGGGTTCTGCGGAAACCTTCATCAGCGATGGCAATTAATTTCCGCAATGAGACAGGATTTCTGGCGCCGATGGAGAGATGAATATCTCGTAGGCTTCCAACGCCGCGCCAAGTGGTTCCGACCGTCCCGCAATATCGAGGAAGGAGATGTTGTTGCCGTCTTTGTCAAGCCTACCCCGCCGACAAAGTGGACGCTTGCAAGAGTGGTGAAATGCCATCCTGGAGACGATGGTCTCGTAAGAGTGGTCACGCTGCGAACGCCAGATGGAGAATTCGTACGGCCCACCGTGAGACTTTGCCTGCTTCCTACTAAAGGAGATTTGTTCTCCGAGGAGAATTTGTAGAGCCTTACTTACGAATACATGTCCATTTAAGATAAAAATTGCCCTTTTAAAATTAATAATCTTTACTGTAATTTCCTTTCTTGTTGAACCTATCCAGGTAGTTCAAGGGTGGCGGTATGTTGGATTCATATCTGCCAGTGCACATATGGGTTAAACGCACTGCTGCCAACCTTTACAACTATACCATTGTAAATGACATTTGTTCTAATTCTTTCTTTTTCGCTAAATAATAAATCGAGCGACTATCAGCAGAAACACACGCGTTTTTCTTTTTCCAGTTTGAAACTCTTGGTAACATTAGCGTACAGAGGACGCTATGTAATTTACTCCAAGTTAATATTTACAACATTCTCTTAACAATAAATAAGACTGTTATATTTTTGTTATTATTATAAAAATATAGCTTTATTACACTTTCTTACCTATACTGTCATATATTTGAATTATCTAATTCCCTAAATCAAAGTTAAATTTGATTTTTCAAACCGGTGGCAACCCTGGGAGCTTGTTAAAAGATAAAGCCTTTTCAAATCCATTTCTATTGATACCTTGCAGCAATTGATTTAACTAATTGAACAAAATTTTTTAACAGATGGCAACTCTGTTAATGTTTAAACCTAGATATAAACCTTCTCCTCGCCGAGACGAACACGTATATGCGTTCCTACAATCGGACCATGGCGACATGGAGTCTATCGATGTTAAACGTTAAGAAACTTTATTTTCCTTGTTTTGATGGAATAATTCTATTTACTTGATTTTAAACATTAACAATTCTATATGTCAAAACACGTCTTTTCCAAACATTTCGAGTTGAAATATTCATAAAAATAATTTTGGCCGCATAAATCGGCGAAATACCCCTATGTGTGTTGGGCTCTCACTATTTAGGAAAAATCCTTGGGCCGCTCGGAATGAAGAAAATTCACATTTAAAATGAAAATAATATATTTTTTAATTGCTAATTGCCTTTGTTTAGGTTGCATATGTCAAACAAGATAAAGGGAACAAAATATACCACAAAGGGCAAAGCTTTCTTGTGATGGGGCTGCCAGACTGTGAGTTGGGGTGTGGTGAGTAATGAAATTCGCCGGGAAAGGGATAGATGTAGGGTGAGTACACTTGTGATTGGCCAAATAGAACAATGAAAATATTTGCGGGACAGTGTTTTGAAAGAACACTAGTTGGAAAACAGCTTTTATAAATGGGTTAACTGAAGGACATAGGATAGATCTGCCTCGTGTTTAACAACAACCTCATCCACGCTGCACGAACGTATACTCACTTTTTAAAGTGCGGTTATCACAACTTTAAATTAAAATTTAAAGAAACGATGCGATTTTTTTCGTCAAAAAAATAACTGCAGTGTTTTAAAAATCGGGAATCGCAGTTTTGTGTAGGGAGAACGACCCCAATTACACGCGCGAACATCCCGTGGAGACCAACCCGTCCACGACCAGGACCCACCCGAGCAAAAGAAGAGGCTACTTGGGTGGTAGAAGCCCGCTAGTGGAGGACAGGCAACGAGTTGAGGACATGCACCAGTCGAGGTAAGAAACAGTGTCCACTCTCTGGGAGCAGCAAGTAGGCAGCAAGTCCCCCGCCAAGATATTAGTAGAAAATTCTTATTGGAGTAGGTTTTAGTAGTCTGTTTTTTCATGGGTTTTATCCTAGTGTGCAAATAATCAAAGAACCACTCTTTCGGCATCTTCTGAGTGAAACGGTTGTGTTGTTTCTCCCCATATATTTCTGTGTGTGCCTTTTATAGAATTGACAGTTACTCAATAACGGTTGTATTCCGTTACTTTAATTGCTGGAAAAAAAAAAAAATTTTTTTACTTTTTTAATAAATAAATAAAAGTCCACAAAAAATCGAGAGGAGTGAGTGATTGAAATTTTGTGCTGAGGGCTGTGGTCCCCATGGGGGTCAAATCCAAACGCAGACTTGAAGATTTTGAGATTTTCTATAAAAGTGCGGTAAGTGGAAAGGTGTCAAAGAAAAAGAAAGTAAAGAAAAATCCATGTGGTGGTGATACACCCCAAGATAATATTGTTTCGAGTGAGTCGGATATGTCATCTGATGAACTCCATACCTCAGCTCAGACCCTGGTGGCTCCTGGGCTCGAACCTAATAACCTCGAACCTACGAGGTAGGAGATAATGTAAAGTTCATGGTTTTGGTGGAAGTTGTACCTGATGCTTCAGGGAAAAATAAAAATGTATATTCAAGTCTTTTCTTTCATGAATTAATTGAAGATTTTGATCTAAGTGATCCCGACGACATGACAATGATGGGTAATGGCCGTGCTAAGCTGACTTTTTGCTGGAAAAAATCTTAAGGCATACATACCAATAACATTCGTAATGAAATTTGGTGTTATTAGACGCATACCAATTACATATTCAGACAGTGACATTCTTTCTGAGATTGAGTATCCGGTTAAGGTGGCATCAGATGAAAGGTTTAAAAGAAAGGAGGACGGTAATCTAGTACCTAGCACTACTATCAAGATAGCATTCAAAGGAGATGCAGTACCAAAAGAAATACGTCTCAATAAATGCATTTCTAGGGTCGATTACTATGATCCGACTATTAAACAATGTAGGAAGAGTGATTTGTTAGGGCATATTGCTAACTTTTGTAAAGCTACTAGTGCACGCTGCTTGTCATGTGGAAAGTCGCCACCATGTGTACAGGCCTGCGTTGCTTTGATGTGCATTTTGTGTGGTGCTAAAGACCACTCATCCATTAGTACAAACTGTTAGAGTAGAGCGTCAAAACATTAAACCAGTTTGTACAATCGAGAACATCTTGTAATGAAGCGTTTTTCTCTGAAGGACCCGAAACTTCTATATTCTATGCTGGGGTATACTCGCCGTGCCCAGGGTCCGTTACAATAAAATTATATTGTGGGGCCTTTGCAAATAGTACTTTATTTAATTGTTCTTATCTTCTAAAACGTTTTAATTCTTAATTCTGCTGATGGACGGCGTCGGTGCCACTATGGCGGCGCTCTGCTGCTGTGTGGCGTCGGCACTACGATGGCGGCGCGCTGTTGCTGTGCGACGTCGGCGCTACGATGTCGGCGTTCTGCTGCTGTGTGGCGTCGGCGTTACGATGCCGGCGCTCTGTTGCGTTGCGAGCAGGTCTCGCCGTTAAGCGCGTTCGCGGTGGACTGTGGCGTGGCTGCGCTCTACCTTTGAACAGCCAAGCCCTGTATAGTCGCCTATTTACAAGTCATGCGCTATTCTGCGCTACTGACGCTTAGATTTTGGTGCTCCTCTATGCGACGTCGGCGCTACTCCGTGTCCGCTGCTCTGGGCGACGTCGGCGCGGTGCTGGTGGGCGAGCTGGTGTCACCGTCGCGCGGCTTCACGGCTGACTATGGGGTGGCGGCGCTCTATCTTTAAACAGCCAAGACTTGTATAGTCACCTATGTACAAGTCGAGAGCTATTCTCTAGTAGCTGTGCGTTCACGACCACAGCTCCGTGCTGACTAACTCGTATGTTGCTGACCCATTTATTTCTAGGCAGTGCTCTTCGTGTTGCTGAGTTGTGTGGCTACATGTTGCGTTGCTATGGTGACAGTGTAGCCAAGGAGTGTTGATACGGTCTCTCGTGTTGGCTGGCCGTGTCGACGATGTTGCTGTAGTCGTTGTTGTTGGTGTAGGGATATGCGTTAGTGTGGGCTAAATTCCGCGAATATTTAGTCCTCACATTTCGCCCCCCCCCCCCTCTTCGGCGGGCGTAAGGCTTTGGATGTTTCGGACATATACGTGCGCCCCACCTGTGTATGTTTACTAGGT